ATGCAGTCAGGGAGAGGAGAGAGAGATGAAAAGCAGACGGACACAGGGCAGCCAGGTGGACACCCGGCCAGATTCTGGACCGTGAGCAAAGGGCCAGGAAAAGATAACCAAACTCCGGGCTTCCCGGGCTCGCAGCCAGGGGCGTGGTCAACGTCTACGTTACCAGTTTTCATTTGGGCCCCGTCCGCTGATGACCCCCTCCTTTATCCTCTGTGGAACCGTCCCTGGACCCTCGAAACATGAATCCCAGCTCTCACCAAGTTTCCAAGGAGGGTCTATTCTGCCAAAACCCTGAGGCAACGGCCCCTGAGAACTGCCGACAAGCTGGAAGCGCGCTGTGCGGGAGCTGGTGCGGCCGGGTACGTATTTTGGGGAACGATCCCTTCGGAGCAACCAATGACAAGGACAGAAAGGGACCTGGAAAACCTAGCTGTCTCCCAACCAGACTAGAGAAATGAACCAGGAATTTCAGTTCACCTGTGAGCAATAAACGCAAAACAACAAACTGAGCAGTCTGAGTCCCCTCCCACACAGCCAGCAGTGGGGTCTGAGAATGTTCCGTGGCTGCCAGGCCTGTGAGAGGGATCTGACGGTCCAGCAATTAGGAGGCAAGACTGCACCTACCTCTGCCTGGTGGCTACAGGGCGGTGCAGTCAGGGCTTACCACTGGGTACCACCAGCCACATGGGAACCCTCCCTCCCCCAGTGGAGGGTCCTGTGTGGACAGAGTCTTGGGGACAAGGCTGGTCAAGCAGTGAACATCTAACCAGCAACCACACTGCTGCCCTTTGGAGGGTGTGAAGCCCAGGAACTGAGAAGCCTGCACATGGCATATGGGCTGGGCAATTCTGGGCATTAAACTCTGACATTCCTTCAGGTCCTTTCTCCCGGATGTGGGGGAGGGGCTGCCCCAGGCCTGCGTGGGGCACGTCAGGGCTCCATCCACACGGGGTCCAGCATGCTGGGAGCAGGACTCCTGGAGTCCTATGCTCTCTTCTCTGTGGTCGACCATCTGGAAAGTGCCACGTCCCCGTACTTTAGAGATTTATAACGTCCACTAGCGCAGTAAAGGCTCTGACAAGTCCCGCAGTATGAGTTTTTTTAAAACTTGGTCTGGATGAGTTTTTTTAGCTTTTAAAGTACAGCATAGGGAATACAGTCAGCAATCTATAACAATAAAAGTGTAACATGCAAATTGACCGAATGGCTGAACAACAGAACAACCATCCGGATGACCATGCTATGACATGGATGACCATGCTATGACACGCACTGGAGCCAGACCAGACAAGGTGGGTGCGATGTGATTGGTCGGGAGCCACCATCACCTCGTGATCACCCTGCAGAGGAAGGCCCAGGCCATCAGCTGGCGGGGTGATCGATCGGGGGGCTCTGGAGAACCAGGGGTGTGTGGCAGGGTATGTGGGTAGCATCAGGCCAAGGTGGGGGGCGGGGCCGGGGCTGCAGCCGGGGATGCAAAGGCCTACCCTTGTGTGAATTTCCATGTGCCGGGCCTCTGGTACTGTAATAATTGTGTATGGTGCCTGGTGGGTACTTGAAATATTGGGGAGATCACTATGTAAAGTGCATGACTGTCTGGCCACTATGCTGTACACCTGAACCTCACACAAAACAATATCCAATGTCAACTGTCATTAATTATAAAATTCAAATTAAAAATAAAAAAGCCGTGGGACCCTCGCGTCAGAGGATGCCTCCTCCAACCCCACGGAGCCAGGCTGTGCAGAATGTGCTCAGGCAAAGGCTCCATCAGGGGAAGCGATTTCACCACACTCAGCTCTCCGAGACGTACTTGGGCCGAACGTGCCGCCGTCCTGCCGGAGCCCCCTCTCACCATGACTTTGAACCTGCCTGTGTCCATAAAGACACCTAGGGGGCCTGAGGAGGCGTCCCTTCTCAGCCTCTTTCTCTACAGCATAGGCTTCTGGGAAAACGGGAAGCTCTGCTGTGGCCTGAGGCTCTGACGGACACGCAAAGGTGACTCCTCACCACCTCAGGCCCCGTGGATATCGGTGGGTCACGGAGAGCCAGGGACAGACAGACTCACTCCTGCTCTTGCCTGAGCCGCTCACTTTTTGTCTGTAATGTGGGGTGACAGACAGGGTGGGAGGGGCCGGCACATGTCCCCGTTCGGACACTGAGCCAACGCCGGACACAGAGTCAGCTGGGGAAAGTTACCCGCCCTGTTCAGGCACTCATTTATTTATAAAGCGCTTCAGCCCTGATACATCCCCCCCACCCCCGCCGACCTGCACGTGGGGAGAGGTCTGGTTACAGCCGCATTTCCCTTATCCGCTCGCCATGGGCGTTTGTATCATTTGCACTTTCTACGAGGATCGCCTTTGAAATTAGATGAACCAGTTTATCTTAGCCATCTTGGGTGTGCACTGTTCGAGAATGCGTCACACGTGGATCTGCCCTTCAAAACCGAGCCCAGTGACCCTAACTCAACCTGTGCTTGATTATTCCGGATTAGACGGATCAATGATTAATGCAGCAAAACCTGGAGGTCAACACGTGGTGCAGACTGACCCTACACCTTCTAAGGGGCCCTAGAGCTCTTTGCTTGAAGCATCTGGGGGGAGTTTCTGATGGATAGCTTTACTAGAGAGAAGACATGGAAACCACCCCAGATAACCCAGATCACCAAAACTTTGCATAAAGTAAAAGTCAGTCTCTCGTAAGCACCCACAAATTCCTGCACTCACGTGTCTGATATTTTGTGCCTGGTCTCTACGATAACTCCCGCGGCCACTTAGAGCTTCCTGCCTTACTTCCTACTCCTCGGCTTGGTTTCTGAGAGTCAATTTTCCTAAATAATTGAGGTCTCAGGGTGTATCAGATGCTACTATCTCTAAAGTGTGAGGCTGGAGCTGTGGGTGGCAGCCAGTGACACTGGTTTTCCTTCTCCCATTAAGAAACCCAAACCACCCATTTTCCCGTTTCTAGGGTCCCCAGGGGAAGGCTGCTCTGCCTGCCCCGCCCTCTCCGTCCTTCAGGGGCACCTGGCTGGTCCCCGGTGAGTGTCACAGACCGTGTCACGTACACAGCCACTCCAACTCGATCCTCTCCAGCTGGGCACCTACAGGCTCATACAAAGCTGCCTCTGCACTTGTCCTTGGCCCAACCACAACGGAAGCGCACTGCTCCCCTCCCATCAATGCGCTTCTCTGTTCCACCAGCACGGGGCACAGATGCCCGCGGCCTGCCCGCAAGCCCCCATTCATGCTCCCTCCTCACAGGGCCACTTGTCAGTGAACTCCTTTCTTTTCTCTGCTCCCCCAAATACACAAAAGCGGGTTACAAAGTGGGGTTTCTTCCTCTACAGGAATAAGAGGTTAGCTTTCCTTCCTTTCTGTTTTCCTACCCTTGGTCTAAATTTGGCAAATGGAAAGTGAGTGGAAGCAGTTAAACTGACCCAGTTCATGGCCCCGGGATGCTCCTGCAGCCAGAACATTTGCTCTTTCTCGTAGGATGGTTGGGGGGGTGGATCTAAGACCCCTAACACCCCCCCCAAAAAAAGTCCTGCTGGGAAATGATTCATGCAGAGGCTTAGGTGAGGCATAAGGGCCATCTTATCCAATCCCTTAAGTTTCAAAAGGGACACCAGGCCCAAGGGGTGAAGGAAGATACTCAGGCCATAGGTGAACTGGGGGACGCTCGGGGCACCGTCCTCAGGGGCAATAAGGAAAACGAGCATCTTACCGTCATCCAAGTAGGTCTGATCCAGGTTCTGTTCCTGTTTAATTGTCACTCCTGCAGGTAATACTTCCTTTTGGTCACTGACCGGGGGTCCGTTTTTGGCGGCTCTTTGGCTTGTGGCATTCTGCTGCTGAATGACCGTGGGGTAGGACCCCGGGCTCAGCCTCTGACCTTGACTGACGGGGGGTGGGCCAGGCCTGGCCGTGCCGGGTGCGAAATTCTCGCAGTACATGATGTGCTGGAACTCCTGCTGGCTCCCGCAGCGCAGCTGCTGGTTGGTAGGTGAGTAGTGGATCACCGGCGAGGCCTGCTGGTTGGCGGGAGAGGAGTGCAGCAGGGCCGGGCTTTGGCCCTGGGAGCCAGCATGCACCAGCACGGAGCGGTGGGCCTCGAGGGACAGGGGTGTGGCCATGAGGGCTGGCTGCTGGTAGCCCAGCAGGCTGGGGCTCAGGCTCTTGCTCCGTTGGTACAGGACAGCCGCTGGGTTCTGCTGCTGGTAGCGGGCATCGGGGGACGAGAGCCCCGAGCGGAATTGCTGGCAGGGAGCCATGGTGGCCACGAGGCAGGAGGGGGACTCGGCCACCCTGGGGTGCTGTGGGTAGTAAGGCTGGCTCCCCAGGCCCCCGTGCGCGGGGCTGCAGATCAAGGTGGGGTCATATTCATCCGTGGGCTCTGTCTTGATGGCTGGGACTGTGAGAAAAGCACACGGGGTGCACCATTCTTAGTAAGCCGCAGGTGTGCACAGAGGATCAGTGGACAGAGGTTGGGCACATGGCCTTGGGAGTCCGAATGGCTGGGTGAAATAGTTGGGCTCTGACATTTGTTAGCCTCAGGCAAGAGGCTCCCTGTACAACCGTCTTAGGTCAGAAAACTAACCCCGGGCGATGATTTGGAACCACAGGTCTTCCCAGTGGTGGAAAGGTGGTCTGTGAATAGCAGGGGCTCGGCCTGGGATGTCTGCAGCCTTTTTCCCCAGGAGCAGAGCTCAAAGGAGAATGCTGGGTTTAAAAGAATGCTGCCCCTCCTCCCTCTGCCTACCAGTTCCCACCCCTTCCCTTCTCGCTGTCCTTCATAATACTCATCACTCATCAGAATACTGACATGTTCTGTAGTCGTGCTTACTTATCTAAACACCTCCACTGGACGGTCAGCTCCTCAAAAGGAGATTTTTTTGGGGTGGGCGGGGGGGCGGGTGGAGAGGAGAGTTGTCTGTTTTGTTCAATGCTGGGTCCCTAGCACCTAAGACACTACCTGGAACTTAACTGACACTCAGATATTTTCTGGACAAGAAATGACCAAATGGTGACTGTCGGCCTCCTTAGCTCAACAGTGTTTTGGGGGAATGAGACCTGCTGGCTTGGGTCTCAGTTTCCCCATCTGTTACTTGGCAGCCATAGGCACTTACCTGGTGGGGTTATTGAGAGGATTAAATGAGCAGTGTGTGCAAGGTACTCAGCACAGGGACTGGTATACAGTAAGTGCTCAATGCCTGCAGTTGTTGCTATCATTATTATTGCTGCTGCTGATAGTGGTGCTGTGGTTACTGTCCCTCTCTCCCCACCTAGAAGCGTCACCAGAATGTGTCCTTCTCCGACATCTAGCCCCAGAGCTGAGGAATCAGCTTTCTTAGCACTGGAGTAAATGAACTGGTGACAGGACAGTAATCAAAGTGGGGCCCCCTCCCCCATGTTGGGGGTTGGAGGAGGCAAGGGGGTTCAGCCCTTAAAGCAAACAGCTCTGACACCAACCACAGAAACCATTCCTCAAGATGCCATTCAAAGGGCACCATCTCAATCCTGGCCCGCCTGGGGACCAAGTTCTCACTGGGACCACGCTCAGACAGGTGCGTGCGCCAATGAGACCCAGGGCGGCCTCACCCACACATGAGAGGTGAGAACTCATAAAACGTAACTGGAAACCTCTACGTGAGCAGGATGGTGGTGATGCAGTCTACAGCCCTCCCAGGGACCATCTCCACCATGCTAGGTCCCAGTAGGACATCGCCACTCACGGCATGTCACGCCAGTCCTGGGCTGGGGCCCCACAAACCCGCGGATGCACCTCGCCATAGCCCCCCGCCCCCATCCAAGGCCACGCCCTCAACACCAGCCCTCGGGTTCATGCTTCCAGCAACCCAGAGTCTCCCTGGGAAACTGTCACAGAACAGAAATTACACCCTGGGTGACAGTCTAGATCAGCGGTCTCCAACCGGAGGTCCACGGACACTGGTGGTCTGTGAGGTCTGAAAGGTTGGCAACCGCTGGTCTAGATGATAGGTTTCACATTCTGGGAAGGTGCCTAGGGGGCCTGTCTCAAGCCTTGGGAAGCTTCGAGCCTGTTTCTGCAGGCCCCTCCTAACTGATGTGTCAATAATATCAATATCACTTCCATCTAAGTCCCCTCTGTTAGGGCATCGGCTCCTCGAGGGCAGGGCTTTTTATCTGTGTGTTCACTGCTGTGTGTCAAGCTCAGAACAGTACCTGCCCTCAGATATTTTCTGGACGAATGAATGAATGAACAATGGCACTTGTCACCCCTCCTGGGACTACTTTGTGGGAATGAGACCTCCTGGACTGGTTATCCACCTGGCCACAGGGTTACCACCCACAGTGGGATCAACGAGAGATTCCATAGGTTTTAGGGCACAGTCACCTCTACCCCGATCATGATCAAATCTACGGCAGGGACAGGAGTCACCAGCTTTTCAACCTTGTGCTGAGCAAGCCCTCACAGGCCTCTCCCATCCCGCCCTCCCAAAGGGAAATATGTACTAACAACACCAACAGCTCACATCGCTGTTGCCGGTTTGCTGTGCTGAGCACTTCCTGTGCACCTGACTCCTGTAACTCTCTAAGGAAGGCGCTGCTTGCTAGGTGAGGAAACCGGGCTGGTTGCACCACCAGCCCGAGGCCCCCCGGCCGGCAGCAGACACCAGGGTCCTCACCCACACACTCCCGCTGCCGCCCACAGGGGCCTTCGGGAGGCGCCCACCTGGGTGGTAGGTAAAGTGCTGAGGCTGGCTTCGTTTTCTCTTCCCGTTGATGACGTAGAAGTTCACCTTCACCGACGTGCGGACGTGCTTGTTCCGGTACTCGGGGATCTCAACAAAAAGCATGTTCTGGAAGGAAGGGGTTGTCATTAACTTCACGGCGGCAACATCTAAATTCCCCTCCAAGGCCCCAAGCGCGTGGAGCCAGCCCATCTCCCTGGAGTCATGACACGTGCCATACGTTTACAGGTGAAATGCTATTTAAGGGGAATTTGACTTGTCAGCCTCGGCAAAGAAAGAACTGCCACTTACTCTAGCGAAGAATAGTAAGATGTCACCGTGACAAATCAGCGGCCTGGTGCTCACGGAATGCTTAGTTAACTCGTCAATTCAATACCTACTGCATGGCTGTTAGGTCCAAAGCCCTGGGACTTTGGTGCAGGAAAGGAAAAGGGAGGAAAGAGGACCCGAGGGAGGTGGGCAGGACACCGTCAGGGCGTTCGGTCCTCTCGCCCGGTGCTTACAGGCTGGCTCTTGTCTTTATCCACGGTGGCCTCCATCTCCCAGATCTGCTGCCCATCTGGAAAAATCCAAGGATGACAGACTCTGAAGGAACTATTAGAAACCAAAGGCAAAAACTCACCCAAGCCTCTTTATCTTGGTTTTTGTATGATATCACTTCAGTACGGCATACATGTGTGTTTGTGGAGCGGATGTATAGATGTACACATATGTATTTTTCTTGTCATATATATATTTTTCTTTTTGCAAAGGAAACCCATGGTGACAACAGAAAACTGGGCAACAGCCTAGCCGGTTTGGCTCAGTGGATAGAGCATCAGCCTGCAGATTGAAGGGTCCCAGGTTCGATTCCAATCAAGGGCACATGCCCCGGTTGCAGGCTTGATCCCCGGTAGGGGACGTGCAGGAGGTGGCCGATCAATAATTCTCAAGACAGATGATTCTCTCTCACCATTGATGTTTCTATCTCTCTCTTCCTTCCTCTCTCTGAAATCAATAAAAACATATATTTTAAAAATATATTATATATATTTTTAAAATATATCATATTATATATAAAAATATATATTTCTAAAAAAGAAAGAAAACTGGGTGGCAATAAAAAATAAGGGGGGAAGACTACCTATCCCCTCACCATTATCTATTTCTCCACATCTGAATGCATATATATCTTTTATTCTTTCAAAATAAAAGTAGCATTGTTACACATTATACTTTACTCTATGCTTTGTTCCACCAAAGACTAAGTCCAAGATGCCCACTGCAGACCACTGGCTGTCCCAGACATCCTTTCCTGGTTGTCTGAGAACACAGGTGGCTCACACCGTCTGTCCTAAGATGTCCTGGCTTATGAGTCACCGGAGAGAATGGAAACACAGGATCCCACCCTCCACGGTTCAGTCAACAGTCAGCCCGGATCCCACACGGCTCACTGCAGCAGCTGATGAGCGGTTTTGCTCAGTAGTAAACTCCTTCCCTAACGCACAGCACTAGCTCCCCACTTTGGGGCCAAGAAGCCAGGCCAAACAAAACTCTGCATTTGCAAATAATAGATTTCTGTTACTGACCACCTACATTGGCCGTTGGGCAGCTTTGGCTCCAACAGATCATTTCCACCAGTGTTTCCAGGGTGTTTTGTGGAACACTGGCTCTGAAGATTATTAAATGGGTTTACGAGAATGGGAAACAAATTCTACAAACTAATAAGCATTTGGAAAATGCCGAGTCTACGGACCCGAGAGAAATGGGAGGGAGCCCTTCTCCCTAAATGTCACCCTTCCCTCCTTGTCTGGTGGGCGTGTGTAAATAAACTCCACCCACCAACAGTCATAGATTCTAGTGCACGGCTGCTTGAGGGTTCCCTTAGAAACGACCAGCCCAGCACCATCGGATGGGGAAAGGGAGGCCTGAGAAGGAAGAGGGCCGTCCCAAGGCATGCAGTGGACAGCTGTCACCGTCCTAAGGAGCTACTGGCACATCCAGTAATGAAGGAGATGCTTTCAGGAATAGAAGCTCCAGGCTCTTGAGCAGAAAGAGGATGAGCTGCTTCCTGGGGAGCTGGAGGGAGGGCCCACATAGGCAGGATCTTTCCCGGGTCACGGCCATCACGAAGGTGCATGCACGTCTCCTCAAGCCCTTCCCTGTGCCTCCAGATACCATCCAGCTCCCCCAGTGGCGGTGAGGGTCCCACCCAACCTGGCGCCTGCCTCTGTCCCAGCGTCTTTGGGCGCCATTCTCCCCCCTCCCCCCAAAATAACAGCTGTTGCCTACCAGCGCTTGCCACATGTGACATCACTCAAAGCACCTCGCAGGTACAGACTTGGTGAATCCACATGACAACCCTAGGCCACGGGTCCGCTCATCACCACCATCTGACAGGTGAGGATACTCAGGCACAGAGAGGTCAAGGCACTGGCCCCAGAACACACAGCTAGTGGGTGGAGAAGCCCCACTGGAGCCCAGGCAGCCTGGCTTTAGAGCCAGCACTCCTTATCCCACCACTCTTATGTGGCTTCAGATTCCTCTGCCAAGTTAATAAAGGTGGGCAGGCATCTCAGTGGCTCATCCTTGAAGACCCAGCTGTGGTCTCCAGTTAGACCACGTTTGTCCCCTCAGGGCTCAAGAGCACCCTGGGTACCCCACCACCACTCTCACTGTCTCCCCATTGTCTGGAACATTCTCAGAGGTTGTCTACCTCATTGGGTGCCCCAGCGCTCAGCTATTTGCCGACACGACGACAATGAAAATCACCGAAGTCGGATAGAGTCACCATGTAAGCGGTGGCCAGGGTAGGAGAGCACCTTCCAAGAAAGCAGAGGCCCACTGGGTGCCAAGGGCCAGGTGCCCATCGGCAGATGGATGGTTAAACAGGATGTGGTCCACCGTACAATGGAATATTATTCAGCCTTAAAAGGGAAGGAAATTCTGACACGGCCTACAACACCGATGGACCTTGAAACATTATGCTCAGTGAAATAAGCCAGACGCGAAAGGCCAGATATGCACGGTGCCACTTACATGAGGTGCGCAGGACGGACCAATACACAGACACAGAAAGAATACAGATACCTGGGACCCTGCGGGGGCAGGGGGAGAGTTCCTGTTCAATGGGTGCAGAGCTTCTGTTTCACACAATGAAAATGTTCTGAACACAGACAGTGGGGATGATTACACAACGTTGTGAATGTACTTAATACCCCTGAACTATACACTTATCAATGCTTAAAATGATCAATAGTGTATTATGTGTATTTTACCACAATTTTTTTAAAAACATTTTTATTGATTTCAGAGAGGAAGGGAGAGGGAGAGAGAGAAACATCAATGATGAGAGAGAATCATTGATCAGCTGCTTCGAGCCCACAACCTGGGTATGTGTCCTGACCAGAAATCGAACTGTGACCTCGTGGTTCATAGGTTGAGGCTCAAGCACTGAGCCATACTGGTCGGGCTACCACAATTTTTAAAAAACCAACTGGCCTCACCCCGAGGCCTGGCTTGTTTTGCAGCCTGTAAAGTGGCTTAGAGGTTTTTTTAATTAGTTGCTGCCGTTTCAAAATGAGACTTCACTGAAAAATGCAGATTTTGTTCTTGGACAAAAAAAAAAATTCTGACAATCTGGTCATTCTGGGCACGCACAGGGAACTTACCATGGCATCCTCTTCTGACAGTGTGTGATGCCCACTTTACCGTGACACCCCGCCCTGACCTCCACAGCCGTGTGCCTGCCTCAGTGGGCCTTTAAGGTGCCACCGCCCGCAGCCTTGCTTAGAAGACTGCCCAGGCTTCTGCATGTTCCCTTACTTAGGATGTGTCTGATGTTATTCTCATGATTGCAGGACATCAGACCCCCTCTGTCTCGGACATAGTCCCATCCTACTGCACAGTCCCCCAAACCAAGGACCCCAGCCTGGCCTGCAGAGAGGCACGCCTACATAGCCACCCACTCAGAACCCCCCCCCTTCCACCGCCCCTCGCGGGTCTCCAGCCAGGACACACAGGGCCTGCCAGGCAGTTCTTCCTCAGGATGTCCTCTGCAGTGGGCATCCCCGCAGCCCCGCTCCCAGAGCTCCTGGCATCAGGTCAGAAGACAACAGTGGGGTTGGAGGAAATGCCTGCTTAGGTCCATGTCCTCACGGGCCTTCAGCGCCCGCCTGCTGTAGCGCTTGTCCTCCCTGCACCTCCCTGCACCTCCCTGCGCCTCCCTGCGCCTCCCTGCGCCTCCCTGCGCCTCCCTGGGCATGTTCTGTGCCAGAACAGACTTCCCCCCTGTTTGTCACCAACTCTGGAGCAGACTGACCTGCTTCAAATCCCTTGTTTTGCCCCCAGTTAACCGTGTAAGTTTGGCTAAGACACTTCATCTCTCTTTGCCTCTAATCCAAAACATGGAGGCAATCATAGTACCTATACCTCCTAGGAGTCATCCCAAGATAACAGACACCCAGCAGAAAATAAATGTTGAGTCGACAAGGCAAACATTATTATTGTGACCAGTGGCAACAGATTATTGAAATACTGTCTTTTTCGTCTTTTTTGCAGTCTGGGTCCAAGTCCTGTTCTTTCCATTTAGCTGTGTGGGCTTTGAGGGGTAGCTAACCTCTCTGTGCTTCTGTTTCCTCAGAGACAATAATAAAGTTAATTTACTGACTTCCAAGAGTTTGGCAAGAATTCAAGTAGAATTTATATGTAAAATGCTGAGCAAAGTGCCCAGCCCATAGCGAGTGCTGGTCTCGTCTCACTGTTGTTTTACAATGTGGTGTTTCACGTGGGTCCGCCTCTAGGGAGAAAGAACTGGCTGGCCATGTGACCCAGTGCTCTGGTGGGTCTCACAGGTTCTTGTTCATTTCATGGCATGACATCTCTCACTGCAAATGAATAAAACGGCCATAGAAAGTATTCACTGAGAAGGGAAGGCCGAAGTAATTATGGGCCAACCATACTGGGTATGAAATAGCAGGTATATGAGGTAAAGGAATACCGGGCAGCACTTAGAATACAGAAGATCGTGTTTTCTGACCTGGAAACGTGTTGCTGTTATATTAAAAGGCAGCATGTGTAAGTGTTGCAGAGCAATGTGTGCAGCGCTATGCAACTCTGTGAGTCTGCAATATGTCTGCTTCAACTCAGGGAACCTGTGTCTAAGCTACACGTATGGTTACACCTCTGCGGCTGGGACTGGATGGATGAGGTGAGACCCTCACGTCTTCCTTCACAGGATTCAAGCAACATGGCAGAGCTATGAGCGGTTTCCATTTGTGTGCATTTTCCCGGTGTCTTTTTAAATAGTTTTTCTCTTATGAAAACAACTAGAGGCTCAGTGCACAAAAATTTGTGCACTCAGGGTTCCCTTAGCCCTGCCTATGTCCTCTTGCAGTCTGGGACCCTCGGGGGATGTCCATCTGCTGGCTTAAGCTCCCCCTGTGGGAGCGCACTGACCACCAGGGGTCTGGCAGAACCCTGGTGGTCAGTGTGTGTCATAGTGACCAGTCATTCCCAGTCATTCTGCTGTTATGGTCAATTTGCATATTACCCTTTTATTATATAGGATATGTTGCAACT